TCTTCATTTTTTATTTTTCAGTTTTTACACATTTATAGACACAGGAAAGCAAAATGCTCTCAAAGAAGATTAATAGACTTTTCCTACAGTGAAAACAAAATAGAAGCAGAACATAAATATGGATATAAACAATCAGGTGAAAATTTTTTTGATTTGTGTGTGCATTTAATTTTCTGTTTAACATTTATTTATCCAGGAAGTCGAGAGTGAAATCTCTTTTCGAGGGAGGCCTGGCCAAGTGGTGGAAAGCAATTAAGTAGATTTACTCAAATAATATGAGTACTTGAATTATTTTCATCTTTATACTTCAATTTCAATAAATTTCTGGAGAAATTATTTTACTCCACTGCAGTTATTTACTTACAGAAAAACACAAAATATATGATTGGCTTATAAACTATGTTTTTTTTTTTTTGTATTTGTTGTTATATGTTAACGACCAGCTACATCTACATTAACAATAACATTACTTATACATTTAGGCATCAGTCATATTTATGCAATACTATATGATAGTAATATAACATACACTCACTGCTTTATTGAGTACTTTTGCTTTTGATACTTGCTAAATGCAACTTATCTGTGCTTTTCCTGCAATACTTCTATTTAAAATAAGGTATTTGTACGCTGTAATATTGTTTCTTTTACTTCAGAGTCCAGTTGTTTTCATGCTGAGACCCATTAAAGATTAAGAAATAAATAACTGCACAAAATCACGAATAAAAGAGAACAAAAACAAATAAACGAGTGCACATCAAATGTTCAACATCTAGTCGTGACGTCGCCCCCCCTGCCCCCCCTCTCTTTTTACGTGCCACGTCACGAGAGTGCGTCAGTGTAAATTGTAAACACTGCCGCCTCCAGCAGCAGCTTCCTCAGTGAGAGTTTGTCGACTGAGCTAACGTGATGTGCCAGCGTTTAATATTTCACCTGCAAAAGGTTTCCAGTCGTCGGCGCCTTCGTTATCACTGTTAAAAACCCCGAGGAGATATCAGATGCTGTTATAAAGTCTTTTTTTGGTGGTTGGGGGGGGCGAGGTGGGATTTACAACACCGCATCAAGTTTCTGTCATAAAGTTAATCTTAGTGGTCGAGCTAGTTTCAGCTAGCTAACTCTCCGACGTGTGAAGCCTGCAGAGCAATCATTATCTCCGCTTTAAAGCTGCTCTGTGCTTCAAAAAAAAATAAAAATAAAAATAACATGGTGCTTTCGTTGGTGAGCCTTTGTGCCAGAGAGGTGGTGAGTGACCACAGCTCGTCGCCCGGCTGGTTGAGGTGGGTGCCCGGGGAGCTGTACAGACCGCTGCTGGAGGCCGCTTTCACCAGCCGCAGACCGCTGGCTGTGGGCGAGCTGGTGCAGAGGTGGCCTGAACGCACGCTGCGTGTCGGTGGACGCAGGAAACGAGGGCAAACTGCGCCAAATAGACTCTGTATCCAGGCTCTGCTGCTCGCTGTGGTGAGAGGACTGTCGGACCAAAGGTAAGCAGTGGTTTATTGTTTTAGTTAGTGTTTGGATTGTGATGTTTTATCTTGTTTATCAGTCACTTTCACTATATCCACTATGTTATTCTTTTCAAACGTATTATTACTTTACTTGGTTTGATTATTATTTATGTAACTTTTCTGCTACTATGAAATTGGTGATTCTCTCCACAATTCAGACTTACTGCGAATAAAATCCAGTTTTGTTTGTTAAAATCAAAGTAATGTGACTATTTCCGGTTGCTGAAATGTACGAGTATAAATCCATGGATGTTATTTGATTGTTGGATTTTAGATCAGTAAGATATGAGAACAAAAGTAATGTTGTAACTAATGATATTTTGGGGGGGCAGTAACTGTAATATCATTACTGAAACGTTTTAGTTCTTAGTTACTTTACTAGTTACTGGGGAAGACAGTATTAAATGAGACAGATAATCTGAAATAAATCTGGCTCCTCTGGCTCTTCCTTTTGTATTTTAATTAACTTTATTTAAATTTTACACACAAATATTACAAAACATTTAAACTTTAATGCATCAAATGTCAAAGTGTATAAGAAAACGTTCATAAAGCGCAGAGGAACTAGTCTATAAAGTGAGTCTTATCCAGACTTTTCCTCCTCTGGAGTTCAATAAATACTTGTTTGACTACTCTTTTACTATCGATCACTGTCTGTTATCTTGCAACTCACATACAGTATCCTATAATTAGTTGTAGCAGTTCAGCGTGGTTAGATGGACGAACACCAAGGATGCCATACATGACAGACATGACAGAGCCGAGAAAGCTAGAAATACCGACGTCCCAAAGCTTCAAGCCACTCAGCAATCGGCTGTCTTTCTCTGCTGTGATTGGTTGTTTTCAGTCAGCTGCGGTGGCTTCTTGCAAATGTCATTAGGAGCTTTAGGAGGAACCTGATTTTTTCACAGATTATCTGCCTCATGTACTACTGTCAGGATATAGTGAAAGTTTTAACGAATTTGACAAAAAGCTATTTTTTATAAAAGTTACCTGCAGCAGCTTTAAGAGCCATCCCTCTTTTCCAGGTGTGCCCTGCAAGTACTGGAACTGTGTGGGCTGCAAGGAGATGAAGGAGGGATGGGAGACCCCATGGGAGGCTGGTCTCTGACTGTAGCTCTCTGCACCATGGTTGTTCAGGCCAGAGCTGGAGCACAGAGGGCACAGAGAAGAGAGGGAGAGCGGGAGAGGAAAAGGTTTTCGGCTCTGGAGAGAGAAAGGGATGTGAAAAGAGAGAGGGGGCAGTGGAAGAGGGGCAAGGAACCAAATCTGGATGAGGCAAGCACAGACAATAAGGAGCTGGAGAGCGAGAGGGTGGGATTGTGTGGGATTGTGGGTGAAGAGGAGCTGATTAAAGGTGTCAGGAGGAGGATGGAGATAGAGAGGAAGAGAGAGTCTGCAGTGACGGGTTCAGGAGGCAGCAGAAAGGAGACTGAAGAAAAAGATATACATAATGAAGTGTTGGTGCATGTGAGAGCTGATCTGTTTGTAAATGCTCGCTCTTGGGAGCGCGTTCGCGTGGCTCTGAGCACGTTGGGACCCCTCAAGCTTCAGTGCAGATACCTGCGCGTGGAAGAGATTTCAGTGTCTAGCATCAGGACCCTGCTAGACCTCCTGCCTCACCAGGGTCTTCTAGGCATTGATGTTCGCTACAGCAGCCTCGGGGTGGCTGGCCTGGCTGAGCTGCTGCCTCTGCTCTCCACCTTCCCTGCACTGAGCTCTCTTCGCCTGCACTACTGTAACTTAGATTTTCGCAGAGACCAAAGTGGCCAAGAGGAGGCCCTGAGGGACTTGTCTCTGGGGCTGGCAAAACTAAAAGAGCTGCGACGCCTCAGCCTGACTGCACTGCGCCTGCCTGGACAGCTACGTGTGCTGCTTAGGTACGGCCTCGATACTCCGTTACATGAATGCTAACTCTGTACCTTGAGCCTGGTAAATAGCACAATGTCACTTTTCTTTTTATTATTCTTTTGTTACAGCTCACTGCCTCAGCCTCTAGAGATACTGGAGCTGCCATATTTGAGCCTGAGCCCGGCTGACCTCGCCTATCTGTCCTGCAGCCACCATGTTTCCACACTGCAGCAGCTGGAGCTTAGTGAGAACCGTCTGGATGAAATCACCCTGCCCTCCATCCGCCGCCTCCTGTCCCAGGCTTCCAGTAGCCTGCAGCACCTCTCTCTAAGTGGCTGTGGCCTGACCGATGGCCTGCTGGGACTCTTGCTGCCCTCACTGGGAGGCTGCTCGGGCCTCAAGAGCTTGGCTTTGGCCCTGAACCCTCTCTCCATGGCTGGCCTCATGAACCTGGTGAGGATGGCCGTGAGAATGCCCTCTCTCCGCCACTTACTGTATCCGAACCCACTGGAGGACTACCAGCCGGGCCTTCCCGACCTGCCCTCCAGTGCTCAGCTCTTAGACTGGCCACTGGATGAAGCCACAGAAATCAACATGACGAGCAGCCAGCTCAACAGGGTGCTGATTGATAGCGGGCGCTCTGACCTCTTTCTGACATGCGACCTGCTCAATTATGATAAAGATCTGATGGACTAGAGCAGAGGTGAAGGACGCTGGTGCTTTTAGGTTTGCGCACCGACACATACCAGACACATTGACAATCAAATTGTCACCCTATTATCGGGTAGTATTCAACTATCTGCTTTTTTATCTTCATTATCATCTGTCTCTTCTGAAGGATGAATTATTAATTTTTGATTTCTTAAATAACTGGAACAAAGCAGCAAGACACTCAATGCAGACCTCCACCGAGACACAACAATCTCCTTTTTAGCCAATATGTAAAAAATTGTACAACCTAAATAACAGGAGTAGTTACACAAGGATAGCCAGAGTTAAGCAAGATGAAGGCAACTGGTTTGTTGTTGTTGGGAGCATGAATGTAATCAATGGATCGGAAGATAAAACTTGGCCTGATGGCAGAGCTAGAGATAAACGACAAATGGACATACGGAGGAGACACTAATAAGCCATGCTTTAAAAAAAAACTGGTGCTACACTACTTAATAAGTTCACTTTTGACTGTATAAATTGAGTTGTTGCATATGAGTCACTGCTGGTTTTGTACCAAAAAGTAGTTTGTTCTTTGTAATCAGGTTAACAGGACAGTTGGGATGCAAAGATTAACGTCCCCCTGCTGCCCTCGTGCCTTTACAAATGTCACCAGTACTTTCTTTATGTATGGAACTCATTTAGATACAGTGTCTGATCAGCTATTACATTTGCATACAACACACCAACAACCAAAACTACAAGTTGGACAGTGGTTTCCTTTAATATTTCCTTTAATAGGAAATAAATGTTAGTGCAAAATATTTCAATTTATTATGTGTTTTTTCTGCTTTATTCAGTAATGTACTTTCTCTTTGTGCTGCTCTTATTTGCATATTTGTCATACTGTATTTCTTGAATATCTGTTTTAAAATGTTCAGGATGCCTTTTTGTATTCAATCAAATTGTATACGGAGTCAAAAAGTATCACCGTTATCAGGAAATGAGTGTACCAAATCACCTTTATACGACATGAATGCATTTACTTACTGTAAGTCACAGAATAAATCAGACATAAAGCAAAGTTTTAAGAGTCATTTAACTGTGTGATGATTAACATATTAACAAACTGGAGTGTAGAGGCATCATCTGTAGTACTCTACATATGACTGCTGTTGAATGAAGTAGCGGCGAGGCGAGGCCTTCACCCAGTCTCCGTCTGAGAAGATGTGAAAGGGGAGGAGAGTGACCCGAGGTAACGGCAAAGAGATGAAACTGGGGAAGTGCAAGAGGAAGGGACGGCTTCTCAGGGGAGGCAGAATTAAACCTGTATAAGAGGAATGCATTGGATGTTATAGAGCAGGAGATGTCTACAGATACAGTTGCACATAATTGTAAGTCTTTGTACAGTGAAATCTTACCTGGTGGCCTGGATGTCCTGGCCATGCTGTACGTCTCTCCTAGTCGAAGGATTGGTTGAGAACTACTAAAAAAATAAATGATTAGGTTAGAAAAGATGGAGTAGACTCAGCTTTCCAGAAGAAACTAACCATACACGACTTTTACATACCAGTCATATAGGGGCAATAGCACTGTGTTTTTGCGACCAGCTGGTGCAATACATTTCTTTCTGTGCTCCTCTTTTTGGATGGAGCAGAAATAGTTCAGCACATCCACCACGCTGAAGGTTGGCGGCTTCCACTTTGCTGTACTCTTGAGGTACAGATACCTGTTATGTTCCTGGTGACATGGAAAGAGAGAGAGGGAAAGCAGTTGATCACTTACAGTAGCAAGCCAAAACCAGCCGCGACGCCACCGGCCATGCCAGTCAACAGCTCACGTACTCCTATTTAGAGTAGTTAAGGTCACAGTAAAGGACATCAGGAGCAGGGGAGAGCGGGTTCACAGAACGAGAGCCTCTCAGTTTTCAAACACCTGTTCTGTCCTTTTGTCACACTCAAAAATACTTTAATATATGGTGATAATGAATGTGAAAAATGTTTTACTACTACTACTTTTACTACAGACGTGAAACAGGAATTGAAGATAGTTTAAGATTTAAATGAAACACAGCACAAACTTTGTATCTGGAGGTCCATAACTCCAGCCAACAATCTGCTCGGTCATGGAGGCTCTTCCACACGTCAGACTGGTCCTGCAGCTCCGACTGCCAGCTCTCCAGCTCTGGCCACAACCACTGGTCGGCCTCACTTACACCTAATGCAGTCAGGATGTGCAGCACTGTTGTTCTATTGACAGGAGATAATACAGACTTTCAGTCATTTCAGAGAGTTTCAACTACACTTCAGAGGTTTCTTTCGATTAAACCTGCAATAACACATTTTTTGGCCACTTGTTAGCAAACAGTTGCTTATTTGCACATCCAACAGCTACAGAGCAACATAATCATTAATTTGCAGTCCTGTTTCCGTCTGTCTGATGAATGTAAGTCCAGTATTTAATTTGTCTCCATAAAGCTGTTCATCGCTACAAGCAACACCTCTGTCACATTGTCATTTATAAGGATATCGGTATTAGACACTTTAAATATAAAGATTACTAATTGTTACTTTAATTGATGGACTCACCGGAGACCCAGTTTTTTAAAAGCCAGAAGAGTGAGAAGCTTTTTCACAAGGTCAGAGCCGGGAGATTTAAGACGCATCAACTGATGCAGCATTTCAACAAGCACAGCCCGCTCCACAGGTGACTGAAACACACACAGGAAAAACAGTCAGACACAACCTCAAAATCCACTTCCTTAAAATGCACAGTGATAATGTTGAATCCAGCACAGACAGTACCATGGGATATCTCACAAATTTTGACACCAAGTCAGAGAGACCTCGGTAGAGCTGGTCTGTATTCTCTAAGAGTCCCTGGATGTGCAGCGCCTGCAGTGCAGCCAGGATCTTAATCTTAGATGGAGCACTGCAGGTGTTTAGACAGCTCATCAGCTGCAAGGAGAAATCCTCTGGAGACAAGGTGCTCGGGATACACTGCACACAAACACACTCATTAAGATCTTAACCAGATTATCCATTGTGCATGATATGATTGCCCGGTGAACAGCATAGGCTACCTTTTTATCAGGATAGAAGTCTTTAAACCAGCCCTGATCCGCAAACTGTTTGAGGAATGTCGGCACCTCAGGGGTGGGTTCCCGCTGTGGGAGTGGTGTTGGGGTCCTTGGACGGCGAGGAGGAGGAATAGGAGTTTTGGGTTTGGGTGGCTCTACTGGAGACGTGATCTTTGGAGGAGGCTACAGGGACAAGCGCAGATATACATGTAGATGCAAACACAAATGACAGCTACTGTTTTATGCAGTTATTGTAGTGTAGAAGGTATTAGAAGAGAATAAATGCTCTCACCTCTTCTTTCTTCTCCACTATGATTTCTGGTTTCTTGGGTTTGGCGACAGGCAATGGCTTGACTTTTATCAGGGTCCTTGGTTTAGGTGCTGGAGCCTTTTTCTCCTGCAGCTGGAGAAACAGATGAAGAACTTTGCTTCCAGACATGCTTAAGACGAATAAAAAGTTTTTTTCTTATCATGCTGACAGTTTTTACCTCCTTTTTCTCCACATTCACAGGAATGATTAACTTAGATTCAGGTTTGACTTCCTCTTTCACAGCAGGAACCACATAACGGTTGATGTCACATGGTTCAGGATCAAATTCAAAATTATCTTGATCCAAGGTCTCATCAAAATCAATCTGAAAGCACAGCATTATCCTATTAATGATGTGAAAGTGAAAATATGCAAAACATTCAAATAAAATAGCTGATTTCTGGCAAATATATTACTGCATCATACTACCTACTTTTACTAAATATTGTGATTTTTAGGCAAAACAGTGTATTATTGAAGGAAAGGTGAGTTGATTATGAAGCTTATTTGCCAAAACTTTGTGTATTCTTGAAAGTATTGAAAAGAGGCAGATCAAATAAGTGGGGGAAGGAGGATGAAGAAACCTTAATATTGAAGGGCAACCCATATATTATCTTCATGTAGCGATCAAAAGCCTCTTTCTTGGTTTCCTTTGTACTGGGAGGTTTCCCTTTTTTGCATTTTACTGAGCCTTGTAGGAGTGCAGCAAGGTCCATGTTCGAGGCCACTAATTTGTCATGCTCCTGGAACAAGACAGATGGAAAAAAATATTCACCACAAATTTTTCAGTGTTTAATTGACACTTAAAAATCTACCAAGTCACACATACCTTCTGTCTCCACATGTCTTCAGTGGATAATAAATTGCTGGCGATTGCTGGCAGTCCCTCTTCATCATCTTTGTCGGTGCTTGCATTGCTGTTTGCACCAATGTCGCTCATGGATTATTAGATCATTGGTTTGGATTATTTTGAATATGTAATATAAATAAATCTTACTTTTTTTTGCTGCACTTCTCTTTATTCACGATGATAGGCCAGTCAGGAACGGGCTCAGCACAATAAGTGTAAAGGAGCTGTGCAAATAGGAAGGGATTAAAGAAACATTTTGCTTATATTTTGTAGCTTTGTTTGAAAATCAAATTATCCCCCACATCATCCATCAACCAGGCTGTAAGCTGACTAGTTACCAGTTGTTGGTAAATGTGTGGCAGGAACTTTGCGCAATCCATCCTGTACAGATCCCCTCTAATGCCAAGAAACAGCTCCCCTCCAAATCCACCATAAACCAGACACTCAGGCACTGCATTCAGCCGTAGCGTCCTGGAGGGGTTACAGACACATACAGATAAATGAAGTAACATATATTGCTAAGTTACTGGAATGCAAAAGATCAGCAGCAGGTAAGGCACTCCAACCCAATAAGATGATTATCTTCATTCCAGATGCACACTGTCCCATCTAGACTGCTGGAGACAAACACCTCCAGATCAGGACACACACACAATCCTGCAAGAAAACAGAGATAGTCACTCACACACAAATAAACAAATAACACCCTTTACAATTGATTCATTAGCGACACAAAATTTCACTTTTCTACAGTTTTTTTTACCTGTGAAGTGGTCTAAATGTCCTTCCACTGGGGAGTAACCGGTCTGGCTCTGGTTGAGCAGGTTAAAGTGCATCAGGTTGTAGGTGCCACTGTTGGGATCTTGAAAGGTGAGGGCCAGCTGGCGATCCAGCGCTGCCAGGTAGACTAGTGGTTGGCCACAGTGCAGGCTGAGCATCTTGCTGAGACACTCCTGGACGTAGGGGTTTACTCTCCACACCACCACTGTCATGTCCTCACCTTGGGGATTGGGGTAAAGCTGTTATGTCAACACTGACAAGCATAAAAAGGCAGTTAAGTTGCATTGGGAAATACCTGTGGAGAGGAGGTAGCCGTTCTCGGGGTACACCTGCACTGCGGTGACTCTCTGGCCGTTGTGTGCTGGTGTCCTGTAAAAGACCTTCCCATCGTCCATTTTCAGAACGCTCACACAGCCTCCACTTTGGCCGAGAATGGTCAAAAACCTGTTTAAGCAAAGTGCAATCAAATTAGCTGAAATAAAGATAATTTCTCCAACTGTATATTTACTAAATGCAGAAACATTTCTCACTTATTCTTGGCATCATCAAGAGCTGCCTTGTTCCTGTGACTGCATCCTCTCCTGTCCTGCAAACTCCTCCACTCCTCTAAAGCTCCTTGTGTTTCAGCAACATAACTGTAAAGCACCAGACAGCAAGCCGGGCCAGGGACAGGCAGATTCTGGACATCATCCTCAGTCACACCGTCCCTGTACCGCCAGGGCCCCTGGCCTCTCTTCTTCCACTCCTGCATCAAAGTGATTGGATTAGTAAGCGTGTTGGCTTGGAGCACCGTACCTGTCTCAGTCAGAGCCAACAGAATCTCTTTATGCAGGCAGTAGTCGGCACACAAAATCCTCTGCGTTGCCTTAAAGGAAGTCAACACTGCTCCTGTTTCTGCAGCCACAAGCACAATGTCACTGTCCCCGCTGACACAGAGGACTCGTGTAGGGTAAGGTGCAGGGAAGGGGGAAACTAGGATTTGTCTCAGTGGGGCTCCTTTGTCGCCTTTGAGTTTACAGTGGAGAGTGTACAAGGTTCTGATGGTCCAGAAGTCAACTCCTTGGTGAGAGAAGGAGAAGAAAGTGTCTCCCTTTCTGTTGCCTCCTATGAACAATGGAGGGTTTTCCGGCTCTGTGTGGACGCACTCGATTACATGACCCTCTTCCATGTCCCAGCAACGGATCGTACAATCCACAGAGGCTGATAACAGCATGCTTAATGCAGGGCAGTAGAACAGTGAGTTCACTACATCTAGAGGCAAAGAAACAGAATATTTCAAGTATAATCATAAAGAGGGACTTAAAAAATGTGCATAGACATTATGACTTTACCATTATGTCCAACAAAAGTCACACGCAGTTCCCAATCTGGACCCCATATTCTAATGGAGAGCTCTTCAGATGCAATGATCAAACAGTCCAGTTGAGAGCAGTACACCATTGCAGTGATGTCTCTGTAAAACATAACTTGTTAATCTTAATGCTAAAAAAAACTCACAACTCACATCACATGCACACATACACACCGTGAGCAGAGATCCCTCTTGTGCTGCAAAACCTTCCCGGCATTGAGATCGACCACCGTGACGGCCTGCCCGCACGCCGCAAACGCTCTGTGGGGTCTGTCAGATCGCGGAGGGGCTAATGCCATTTGAGTGAACGTGCTCTGCTGCAGCCCCTCCTGTATCCTCACCTTACACCTCATGAGCATCACCGACCACACGCACACGTTGCCCACACCTGCAGTCACCAACTCTGTGGAGTGTTCTGCAGCCTGACACACACGTATGTCCAGGGCATCGTGAGCAGCATCCAGGGGGTCCAACTCACTGTTGAGGAGTGTGAAGACAGGCCCTGGGCCCCAACCCACCAGATGACCGGAGATCTTTGTGGCGGTCAAGCCCATGAAAGGGAGGTGTGCTATGGAAGTCTGCTTGTGGCCATCAGCTTTATAAAGGCAAACTGTGTTGTCTGCATGGAGGCTAATGAATGCTGCAGCAGCTTCAGAATACATCATGAAACGCACAGGGCTGTCACAGGGCAAATGCTGAACGCGATGGAGACCATGAGCAAACACATGCTGTTTGCTCTTGGAGTTTTTTACCTGGAGAGTCAGACACAGAGAAAGCATATAAGGCGTGTATGACCTCTGAAAGTCATCAAAAGACGTTAGCATCATGTCGACGTAGTCTACCTTGCCTGTGGCTTGCTTCACGTCCTGCTTGAACAAATTCTGCTTTCTCCCATTTGATGTCCCATTCTCTTGAGACAGCAGCTTCGGGGGGGGACTGGGGTAGACTACTGTTGTTGTTCTCGTCTCCTCGCCTGGGGCCACCATCTCTACCACTTTCTACACAGGACTCATCCACTGACCTTTTGCACGTCTCTTTTTTTTGCTGGTGGCTATGTGACATTTACCTGTGCAGGGCACTCCACAAAAACACAAACAAACTTAAAATACAGCGTTCATCAACATCCTGGACCAAGCACTTCAAAGTAGATGTTGAACCTTTTATGTGAAGATGAAAACTGTTAATTATCTGTTAAAGACTGCAACTTTCTTTTTCTTATGCAACCTTGTATTGATCCTGAAATATTATTTTCTTCTTCTGCTTTAAAAATATTCAAATCGTAAACATGCCACAATTACACAAATGATCTCAGTATCTGTCAAAGCATCTACAGTTACTTTATTTTGAGTTACTGTTTGTAAAATCCGATCATTTTAAAGACTCAATAGCTTATGTAATTATTTTAGGTATAGAAGCCTGATTCTGCCCGTCAGTATTTGATTTAGGGACATTTTCTACTTAGCTAAACTGACAATAGTTAATACAGTAAAAAATAGTTAAAAGTTAAAACTGTAGGAAAACATGGGAACTAAGTTACTTTTTCCTTTTTTCTTTATCCATTCTGTTTTATAATATTTTAATATATGAACTAAAGGCCAACATGTCACTTCAATCCAACAAATAAAGAAAGTTTAGGGAAGACAAATGTTGTGCCATTTGGTCACGGATTCAAGTCACCATAAGACAAACAAACAAACAAAAATAACTTACCTTTTAGCTCATCCTTGTGTAAACACTAGCTTAGCGTTACATACTAGTAAAAGTTAAAGATTTATAACGCTGGGTATCGGCCTAAAAGGTGAGTAAACTAAGTTAAACTTTGTGTTTACCTTCCACCAACTAGTAGTTATGTAGCCCGGGTGCAGCAGTACGTCTTACATCTACACACTGTTGAGTTAAATTAGTTTAAAAACAATGAACAAAGCTAGCATCAGTGAGCTAAAAGTTTGTTCTCTCGGGTCCCAGCTCGGTCTTCGTTGCTAGGCAACCGGTTGCTCGGATACACCCATGGCTGCAGGTCGCACAACTTCAATGGTTCCTAACAAAATGTTTGTTCTCATCTTTTATTCGTGAAATAAACCACTGAGGACACTGAGGTTATGTCCTTGGTATTTCTTCTGGGAATCTGGGATGTTTAGGAGCCTGAAGGACTTACAGGTTGATAATTTTTAGGCTCAGTATATTTAATTTTTTTGTACTTTTAGGCAAATAAATAATTTAAGGATTTACCATTTCACCACTAGAATTGCCTTCTTGAGTCATGTCAAATTAGCTGATTAATTATTTTTGTCTTTTTATAATTAAATAATATTATATTGTATTATTAATTATCCTAAAATCTTATTAGGTTATCTACATTAAAGCTGAAAGCAGGGGTTGTTTTTCTTAGCTCATCAAATGTTGACATTTTGGAGAGACTTTCATGTTGGGAAATAAAATTTAGAAACTTAATGTTGTTAACTGTTAACTGAATAAAAATCCTGGTTAAACACACTATACTTAAACTGAAGTTAGGGCAGGTTAAGAACTTACACAAACACATTAAACATTAAATAACACACCTACAGATATACTCAGTTTATTATATAAAAATTAAACTTGTTAATACCATACAAATATTTCACATTAATCAAATAGTACAAATATTTACATCAACAAACATTTACATTATTTGTTTCTTATAATGTATTTATGGGAGGATATTAAATAAATTGTGGCCCCTATAAAGGATCTTTGGTATTTAGCCACATTCTTCTCACAGCTAATGTATGTTAATATTAGATTTTCTGGGCATGTTTCATGGATTTAAGAAGAATACACACATCAAAATGAAACAGGACATACACTGTAAAGTGACTGTGACAAAATCGGATTTATAAATTGATCTTTATGCTTTCCAGAGTTTAAAAATGATGCAGCGTTCAGAAGGCTTCAGTCATCATACTCTCCAACTTCTCCTCCTCTGCAGTAATGGGCGCAGTAAGGTTTCTTGTGAAATACTGCATTTCTATTGTTCCTGACTCGTGTGCCAGTGCTATTCCTGAATATGTGTTTTGTTGTCCTGAGTCTCCAAACACAGCCATGGCGGTCACCCTAAGAAGAGAGCAGAAAATGTGAACCACATATCAATACAATAAATCTCCTCAGGAAAACAAAAATCATCCCTCATGTCTGAATCTACCTGTCAGAATGAATCCCTTCAGTGACCACAGGCTCTGTATCATTTTTCAACAGGTCCCATATGTGGAGGTTAGAGGCTGCATCGAGAACACAGAAGACTGTCGGTCTGGTCTGGGCCCAGTGCAGTGACACCACTGGTTCACCAGCTGTACCATTCTTCCACTCTGCCACAGGCTGCTCATGGCTGACTGCATGCAGCCTGATGCTGCCGTCTCCACAACCCACCTGGAATAAGGGGAAAAGGTATGAAAGCATATTATATAGTTATAATTGTATGTTATCTTTATGTATGATGATTTATTTATTTATACAGTTTGAAGTTAAAAGAACAGTGCATATTAATAGACATTTCTGTATAGACTATTATATAGACAGCTCAGTTTCAGCTGCAGTCCCCGGGCAGGTGTAATGACAGCTACAAAAGACACATTAAAAACATTAAACAGGAACAGCAATACTGTGCATTAAAAACACATAAACCACTTAAAAACAAGAACAAGGGCAAGGGTTTGGTCACACACTTGACTATTAACCATAAAGTAAGTTGGGTTTGTTGATGAGTGTTGGTAGACTGTGAGCATCTCTCACTGACAAAGTCCTCCTCATAGGTATTATACAATCCCTTTCTCCCCACAGAGCTACCATGTCTAACATCAGTTGTTTACTGCTTTATAAATGCACTAAGGAGGGGAAGGAGCCAAGCCATGCCCAATCTTACAGACAAGGCAAGTGTCTGTTAATTTGATAAGACTGTCCCAGCTCAGTAAATTAAGCTGTAACAGTGGTGTTCGGTTTCCTGGCGCACAACTAGTCAGACAGTATGACAAATGTGACATGACATGCTGTGAATGTTGTCCTCTCTGTCCTGCACTTTGAGGTAACCAATGCAGGTTTGTTGTTTTTTTTTCTATTTGCTGTAACAGTAATAAAGTTAACTCAAACTCACAAATCACAATCTCTGGAATGGACCGTGATCAAATCCCCCCGAAAAAATTTGGTTTCCTTGCTTTTGTGCACAGCATTAAATCCTTGCAGGACATTGTTGCTCCTCTACTTTAACATTTCTATGGAGGCAACAAAAATATGATTTTCTAATTAAGGGGGGGGAAACAAACAAAACAGCAAAAGTCTTTTTAATGTCAAAAAACTGCACTCTCACCAAGAACAAGTGTTGCATGAAGGGAGAAAAGTGGATTGAGCTGACGTCAACGGGTCGGACTCCAGCCTCCTGAAACCTGTAAAACTTCGGTGGAGCCTTCAAACCGTGACTCGTTCCATGATTCACCAGACCCTAGACAGAAATCATATTAATACACTGTCACAAAATGACACGAAATAACTGCAATTATGGTGGAAATCATTTCTGAATATCTTCAGGGGGTAAATTTGAAAGGACATCACACTGTGGCAGAAAAGATCAAGCTCACCATATTGGTGCAGACAAAGAAATGATTGGAGTCTGTTGGAAGGAACTTTAAATGAAGTGTCTGTAACGGCCCTGTTTTCGCTGCATCTCGCGGCGACACCCTGAGAGCCAGACGAGCCGAGAGAGGGAGAAAAATGTCAAACCAGAGGTGAAAGGTCACAACATACCCTGCCAAAAACAAACTGTGCAACTGGTGGAACGCGACACTGCATCACATTCACACCGCACATGTATGACCACGGATATGTTTCCATCAAACGTTGAGGTGACACAAACAACAGCCCGCAGTACATAACAAACAAGATCGTATGACCACGCCAGAGCAGCTGTGTTCCACTGGGTAAAGACATTGTGGGGTATTTTGAGCCCAGTGGCTGGCAGTGACGGATGATCATCACAAGCTATTTATCAATCTCACCTCTCAGCAGTGAGGAGGGAGGAGCTGTGAAGTAACTTCACTTTGCTGCCAGGCCTGAGCCCTGCAAGAGAGAACGAGAGATACAGGCTGGAGCTGGTACCCCACGTGTGAGAAAGCTGAGTATGTTCGTGGGAAAAAGAGGGACTGTCATACCTAGATCTGTTGGAGAACCTGCCTCGTTGGCTTTGGGGAGTTCCACTACCACCTAAAGGACACAGAGAGGAAATCATCAAGTCCATCATGGCATAACTTTGATGTTTGTGTACAGCAGAGGTTTTTAAAGTCGACAGACAATATTGATATTGCAACATGAAAATGCTGAAAGTTTTGCAACTACAGTTCCAATAATTTTGGAGCATATAAACAGGAAGCATAATGTTGCCATGTAGTCAGTGAGTTAGCTGTGGGCTACAACTTCTGACCCGTTATCTATAAAGCTTCTTTCTTTTTACATTTTGGTAAATTATCACGATTAAAAGTATGCTGAATTAGTTCTTAGCATTTTCTCTTGGCAATGTATCCATGGATGTACAGCCAATTATCAATGGGTGTCTTTTTTTCTGAAGAAAACATATAAATGTGGTCATTCTCAGGCAAGATCTGGAGGAGACACATCTTTTTTTCTTTATAAGCAGGTTTATGGTTACTTATTTGGATTTTTTTTATATAAGACAGATAAGATATCCTTGGGAAATGTAAGTCATGTTGAATTGTGTATCGTGTGCTTACATCTGATTGAGTTATGACTGAGGAAGAAAATTACGATCAACTATGAGTTGTCTGTTACAGTCACTGCTGCTGCAACCGCTGACCCTGCTGGTGAGTGGACTAAATCATTGGGCCAAACTAAAATAACTTGTTTCCAGAACACCGGCACACACCATCCACTTTCACCTCACGCAATATCTTCAATTCCCCTTCAACTCTCCTTTGTATAGATATGTACTATGTATATATATATATGTATATATTTAAATGTACTACTTTGGTGCCCAACCTACCCAGAAATTTAAAACCCCGGTTTCGTCCAGAGAAGCCAGCTGGAATGACAATCCTGATGACTCTGGATTATGAAAAAGAATTACAATTAAATATAAAAAACTAACTGTGAATCGCAAAAGAATATGGCACATTTATAAAATGATACACACGATCCTCATCAATGGGTTAACTATTCCCACACCATTCCATACCTTCCTCAGATGCCAAAAAGGGGACCTCTGGCCTCAGCCCCCCTGCTACAGTGGAGGGGACAACTTCTACAGACGTCACAGATGAGAAATGGCCAGAGCCGGCCATCACTGCATCTGTGTTGACAAAAGAGAGGACATCAGCACATACTCACTCAACGCTAGTGCTATGTATAAAAACAACCTCTGAACTTTAAGCGTGAGAAACAGAAGAGGCCATACGGAATAACCATATACTGGAAATATGTTTTTTAAGAATAATAAGAATAAGAATAAAGTTTCTAGCCTGCCAATGTTTTTGTATGCTGTCTGGAAACTGTCTGGAAAATCCCTGGTGCTACTGTTCCAGACTTCTGACCTTCAAACTTAAATAAATGATTCTTTTTTTAAAAAAGAAGCTATCTTTCAATTCACTGATCATCCATCCTCCCATCCATTTTTTGCTACATATCCAGTCCAGGTCATGTTTAATGATTAAGTAAGAAAGAGTAAGAAAGTACTGACAAAAATGTGACCAATAAATATCATCATCCCTACTGGCTTTCATTCATATTTTTTCATACTTTTGTGGGTATGACTGGGTATGAAAATTGCATTCTGTGTGGTATTAAAAATGCTTGGTGAACCCTGCAGAAAGCCCTGGGGAAATCAGCACCTTCTTTATGCAATGACAAAATTTGAGGAAAAAAAGAAGAAAGTAGAGGGAAAAGGCACAGAAAATGTCACATAAAAACACAGGAAATTTATTAATACTGAGCGAGTGGAACTGTTACATCTTTGGCTTCAAACAAATAG